CAATTGATTCTATAGAATAGCTTTCTATTTGAATGATTATTCTTGTGGAGGGAACATAATATAGTAGAACGATTTAAGACGGCTTTGAAGATCCTCATTTCCAGTGTTGGTAAGTGTATTTTAAGAGAATACAAATATAAACCAAATCGACTTTGAAAGACTTGGAGCTATGTGCTCCTTCTAATATGATATTGGGACAGCAACACAGTTATTATACGGACTAAACACCTTAAAGCTAATCTCCAGTGTTGGTTAAGACATTTTAGTTTTTAAATTATTCTGCACATAGATCTTTGTGATCCCTCTGAGAACAGACATATAATATAGTAGTACGATCTAGTCGACTGCAACTTTAACTTAATTACGGACTCTACTCATAGAAAGTACTTTCCAGTGTTGGTAAGTATATTAAAAAAGATTAAAAGAAAAAACTCGTGTTTGCCTATTCCTCCTGAGGGAAGCCATAACTCGACTCATAAAAAGGGTATATAGATGAGAATAAAGATTTTAACGAACGCCAGCCAAATGTACAAAATGTAAACAAATGAAAGGCGCGTGAAGAGTTGCCCAGTGTTGGCAATGGGCTGCGGGCAAAACACTCCCAACCCCAACCCGAACCCAGAGTTGCATTTAAAGAGTAGACTGGAGTGAGGTGGGGTTGGGTTGGGTGAGCTGTTTTATGAGCCACTTTACGCTGACTCAAAGTGCAACAAGTGTTTGATTAAAGTCTTGTTAAGAAAACAGCTTTGAAGACAAAACATTGATTGCCATGCAATTAACAGAAATTCGACGAACTTAAGTGCAACTAAATTTACCCAGAACCCATTTACCAGATGTTAATCACTTGACTCATCCAACGACCCAAATCTGTGATTTGCACACACAAACTAGCCCAAACGAGCCGTGGCAATAAAATTAAGATTAATTTAATAAGGCCAAGTTAAATAGCTTAGTGATTTCAACAGCTATATCAAGAGAGATATATAAATATTTTAAATAAATCTTTTAGAAATTGTAAAATAAATTTCTTAGAAACTATTTGCTAAACTTGCAGAAAATAGAAAATTGTCAAAAAATCCGTTTATATATGAGCACAAATTCTGTTTCTCAAGATATCCTAAACAAAGAAAGTATTATCTACTTTTTTCTATTGTGGATTTTCTTAGGATATCCTGACCTAACTGAGGAAATGGCGTCTGCTGTTTCACAATAAAACAATAGAAAGAAATAACTTTAGGACGACGCTTAAATACCCTCGGAAAACACGCTCTTCTTTTGAACCGAAACAGGAAATTATAATTCTTGTAAGATCAAGGAAAGATAGATTAATTAACGATTTTTTCCATAGTTACTTTCATATATGTTAATGTTCACAAATATGCTAAAGTTCCCAACAAATCAGTCAAGCCATTTATTGAAAAATTTCCCAACATAGCTAAAAGCTATTATAGGAACAATAGCTCGGAAATAAAGCTCTACAAGGGTATTTAATCTTCGACCTGTTGCTTCTTTCCGGACTTGTTTTTATCAAACAAACGAATTTCCCTCAGCTAGCATGAGGATTAACGCATAAATCTTCATAGAAAAGTTTTAAAAATAGATCATATTTAGTTTTTAAGAGATTTTCGGAACAGCATATTCCATTAGATTATATATAAATATTTGTCGCATTATTGGAAGAGTAACGCCCACTTGAATGGCAGGGCAACTAATTATTGTGCGTTGTTTACAATCAGCTCTTGAGGAAATACTACAAAGCCTTATCTGAATGCCCATTTGCACTTACCTAGGAGCCTATATATCACTATATCTCTCTCTCTCTCTATCTATATATATTTATATTATGTATATATTTATATGTAGCTTTCGAATAGGAGTGAACTGTATTTGCTTCAATCAAGTTATTTGCTGTGTGTAAATCTATTGTTCATGTGCAACTTTGAAATTGTTTGCATTTTGACTGCATTTACTGAAAGTATATTTAATATATGAATATATGTTTATATATATATATATATATATATATATATATATGTGTGTATATGGCAGATAATAACACGCGTTAGCCCCTCGTCATTCGGTATGCAAAGCAGCTCAACAGTTGAACGCCATTGATTCGCGGTTGTCTTTAAGGCATTTGCTGAGCTGGGGTTTTTTTTTATTTTTTTGAAATTTTATTTTATTTATTTAAGTTCTTCTCTTTTAACTTCCCAAACTTGTTGTTGACAACTTTGGATGACAAGTACCTGTGAATATTTGTCAGAAAAAAAAACAGGCGAAACAGTTTGCCAGAATTCTGTAGTATTTATGGCCTATTTATGCGAGAAGCAAGGCGATTTACATAAAATTTGCTGCCTATTGGTGCATTTTTATTAATAATTAGTTTTGTTCACATGTCATTGAAGAGATCATCAACAATTCGCTGGGAATACCCCATGTAACAACACGCAGATCACAAACCTCGAGCAGTAGTTCGCGTTGTGACGTTCGTTTCAACCGGTTATATTGTTATTATCATAGCAATTAAAAAAGCAAAAGCGCATACGATATTATTAACGAGTTATCAACAACTCCATTATAAATTTGCGTTATTTCTACGATTTTCTCTTTTCTCAATACCACGACACCTCCACAGCGGGCGACGGCTTTAAGCGAACTGAACGGACGACTGATAAACTACTGTCTGTTAGACCACTGTAAACTGACAACAGATAAATGTTAAATTATCTGTTAATGCGCTGTTAGCAGCGTGCTGCTCAGTGCGCTGCAGCGTTTGCCTGTGGCTTGGGCAAGGTGGATAAGAGCTGGAATCTGATAAGAAGCGTTAGCTAGGGAGAGAGAGCGGGTTGCGGTTGGAAGAAGGAAAGAGTATTAAAACGCTTAAAGAAACATTAATAGCAATAGCATGTATAAAAGACTTGACTTGACAAAAATTGCATAAGAGAGCCACTCATTTTAAGACAAAGCGGCATATTCTCCAATCAGAATATTATATTATATCTTTATGCATGTGAAAAAGAGAGTAAACACATAAAATGCTGTCTCAGCTCTTATAACAGCGGCGATCTTGCAATAACAGTGAAATGTTAATTTAACATGCAGCGAATCCTCGCAAGTAAATAAACTAAACAAACAAACATTCCACTATGCATATGTATAGGTATATGCACATGTAATTATTGCACACATATCTGAATTTGCGCTAAGTCTGCAGATTGGCGGGAGGGCTTTGTTGGTGGGCCTTTGTCGGCATTCCTTTTTGCGCCTTGTCCGCACGTAGGCGAAAAAAACAAAAGCCACATGGCAATTGATAGACGCTTGCCAGCGGTTTGCCCAGTTGAAATGTAAACAAACTGTCAAGTGTTCAATGAATGGATGGATGCTTCAAGTGGTCAAGTGCTCCCACAACCTGCTGCTGTTTGGCTTTGGCTCGCAATCGAAGCTGTTTGCGCGCCCTGAGGGCAGCTTTTTCAAGCTGTGATTCAGCGCGTTTTTGTTTTGTCTATTTATCGACTTAATTGGCCTGTTGCTGGCAATTCAATTAGCCGCCCGAAGCTGACATAAAGCTCACGTTACATCCATTAACCAAATGAGTCAAAGATCAGCGCGCTTCACGAAGCTTTCAAGCGAATTGAATGCACATGTTGAATAGCAGCGAAAAGCACAACAATAACTGTACATCTGACAAGTCAATTATATTCGTACAGTGCCCGTCATAATTAGTTGCATATATTATTATTTATTCCACTATTAATTGAAATTTCAGTTAGGTTTTGTTTATGGTGTGATTGGAAAAGAATTTATAGCCTAATCCTAAAATCAGTTTATGAAATCTTTAATTACAAAAATGACGCTCAGTCTTGTGTTTGAAAAGTTTTTGAAGAAGAAATTCCCTTCGAAATACAATTATTTAAGCTTTGGCCGAATTCTCATTTGATTTTCACACTTATTCCACAGTTTAAAGTGGAATTTTAAAAGCCCATATATAAAGAAAACTACTTTCAATCTCTCACAGCCATTATTCACAAGCGTAAGCCAGCTGGGAGCCTATCAAGAAATGGGTTTTTCCCAGTTCAACTTCATTTGAAAATCTTCTTTATTGCCTACACTTATCTCTGGCAAGGAGAAGCCACGGCAATTGAATTCGCAGATAAGACCAAGATGGTTCCCCGATTATTGTTACCAAATGAGCATATTAAACTCCAAAGTTTATTTATATATACCGTTCTATACCTTATATGAGATATAGGTCCAAATGACACGTAGGGCGTTCTATGGTTAATGTAGGGTAATAAATGTTGCCTTGTGCCTAACGTGTACGTGTTCAAAGTCAGTTTTTTATTTTTCTATGCAGGGGCAATGACAACGGCAATTATCATTATGATATAATATATGAATACGATAATAACCGATGTGATGAGATCCAAGAGAAACACAATTTGGATTAGAAATTTTTTGTTATTTTTTTTTGGGTGGTCTCAAATTGTTTTATAGCCAAAAATCGATTTGCGAAAGCAACCAAAACGAGCCGCGCAATTGCCAATTAATTTGATGGCTTTGAAAACAATTGAACAAAACGTGTAAACACATATAAACATACAGATATATATAGATATATATTTGTATTAATAAGCTGAAAACGTGCCCCGTCTGCCATCCAGCCGGATCCGCAGTACGAGCCTCAAGACCTATTCCGTGGTATTCCCGAATTATGCGCGTTGACATTGTCTCGAAAAGGAGAGTTTTTTTTTTTTTTGAACAAACTGGTTTCGCGCTTCAGCATTGAGCCTCAAGTGCCGGCAACTACATATGTATATATTGTCAAAGACTCGGCAAATAATACAAAAATATATATAAAACTTGTGGGCAGCTCTCTCGGTCGCTCGATCATAAAAATCACATTTTAATCGCTCGCCAGGCATCCAAGGCTTCCCCCAAATTGAAGATCACATTGCGCTGGATGCCAAAGCGAATAAGAAACATAACCAAAAGAAACTGACCTTGACACTCTCGTTGGCTGGAGAGCGGATTCCCGAACAGATGTCCGAATACTTATGGGCGCCACAGTTTAATTAGTTGCCAATTAGCGATCTTAACGTTAAGATAGTTTGCTCAAATATTTAAACGAGTTGATTAAAAATATGATGTGAACTTCTTGCGCGCACTCACTTAACTTTTAGTTTTTCAATTATCTTTGACACATATAAAGTTGAAGGTTTGAACCCAACGTATTTTCACTTAATTAAATTCTCTTTGCGTTTGTTTAACCGCTGCCGAACTTCTTGTTTGGCCAATTCACTGCAACTGAGCATTTGCTTGGGCAATTGTCTGCAGCTGTTAGATAACAGCAGCTGCGCTGTTAAGTTGCACAAAAAGCTTCCGCCGCACAAGCTTAACAGAAAGTTTTGATGTGACTCGGTTGAAGACTTTCAATTTATACAGTGGCGGACAAAACAAACTGCTCACTTACTTTCACATTGTTTAAGGCGGGGTACTTTTTTTTTTTTTGAAATAGCAGCACACATTTAGGGTTCATATAATTGTACTTAATCCCGATGTTAAAGTGTAGACCTGAAAATACACTCTATATAAAAAGAACAACTTTGTTAAAGCAGATTCTCTAGCTGTATTTCAGTTTTATACCAATTCATGTTTCAGTTGAAGGTCCAGTTCACGTGTTCGGTTTAGGAATATGTTAAAAATGTTATAGACTTAACAATTAATTGAAAATTAGATAATTATGCTTTTAACAGACTACCCTAATGAAAACAAATGTTGGGCAACGGCAAGCCCCAAGCTTGAAGACTATTTAACATAAAGCTCCAAAAGTATCCCATTTAAGAGCATATCGAAGTACTTTTCATAGAATTAAGCAACCCTTTGTTGATTATCATATAACAATATCTTAAGCGTTTAACTAATAATATAAACAAATATGAAATTTGTGAAATTGAAATTCGAAATAAACTATCAAGCCTGCCTCAGCGACAAATGAGAAAATCCTAACAAAGAAAGCTCCTATCAGAATAAATAATTTCAAGATCAGTTCAAATTAGAATTGTAATTGGAATTGTAAGTGGAACGAAGCGCATCAATTCCATATTCCGTATTCAGTTACTGGAACTTGCACTGCTGCTCTCTCATTGCGCCTGCACTTGCTCTTGCAGAGGCTTTTGGTGCAGAAGCGATTCTTGTTGCCGCCGCAGCCGTTGTAGGAGAGTCTCTTGCAGGATCGGCTCCTGGTATCGTACCACCACATATATATATTCGCATTCCCGTAGCAGACGGTCTCATTGGCGTGTCCTTCGCTTTTGCCGCCTATGCAAACTGGTTGGCTATCTGTAGAGGGTTAAGAAGTTGTTAATGCCCCGCATCATTTCTGGCCGTGCAGAGGACGTGCCACAATTGGTTACCTGCAACACCACCACGACAGACCATCGCCTGTATGCCAGTGTGGGCCACATAGAAAGCCAGGCCAGCCAGGATTAGAAAGAATTTCATTTTGAAGAAACTCACTAAACTCAGCTCGATCTGAACTGACTTTCAACTGAACATTTGCAGCGCATATATAGCCAATCGATAAGAGACTCTGCAGGTAGTGCCAGACCCCAAACGCGACAGCTGTTCCACAACTTGGAACTTTGAAGAGATTTTACAACAGAGGCCCTTATCAGGGTGCTGAGTATAAATTCAGATTCGAACAGTTTTTTTTCTGTTGCAATTGTAAAAGTTTGAGGAAAACTTTCGATTCAACTGCAAACGCATCTGTGGCCATGATTTAAAAAATTTGCAAAGAACAAAAAAGAAAAAACGAATAAAATCGAAATATTAGCTGTTAGCAAACGTGTGGTAATTGCAATAGATCTGATAAATCGTGGCTTTTGTAAACTCTCATTGTGGCCCACACTCAAGCCCAGACGAACCATTGCCGAGGCTCTGTTCCTGTTAAGAGATTCGTCCTGCATTATAATTGGTTTAATATTTGACTTTTATGCTAAAGTTAACCAACAGGTCTGTTTTGGCGGCATAATGGCAGGCCCTGAACTGTTCCGGCAGTGCCGCAGGAATGCGAATAATGCAATGTGATATTACCACATCGATACCCACCTCTGCAGGAAGATGGCCTACAAGGGCTGCGCTGGCAACAACAATCGCAAAAGTCCCAATCCCGTACATTAGTGGAATGTTAAATGTGATATGTTAAATATGAATATTGAAATTCATTCATTACTTATTATTAAACCTAGGTTAATTTCCAAAGTAGGCATTTGTAACACTTCTTCTGTCGATTCAATAAGAACCATAGGAAGAAAAACAGGCTAAGATAAGCAAATTAATATACATAATGAATTAAAAAGATAAAAAATAATAATAATTTTGACTATTTCCTCTAAAATAAAAACGTATCAAATAAACTTTAAAAAAAATAATTTAAAACCAATTTAAACCCAAATCAGATGGTCAACAAAAAGTTTCATACAAACGTGTTTCGCGATCTTTCCACAATTACGGCTAGCATTTTTTTAGGCATCCATATCCTGGTAAAATCGTCAGCCAATCAGTCGGAACAAACGGTTTTACCTATAAAGATAGCTCTTTAAGTATTACATTTGATTTGAGGTCGCCGCTCGAATTAGCTACCGATATGCAAACAAATATCGATACCCAGGGAACACCGCGAGGAGGCCATCACTAATGCAATGGGGCCTTGTATTAACATGGCCTTCGAGTCGACTTGAAATGCTTTAATTTTCAAAATTATAACATTTCCATGTTCCCCAACGCTCACATTTAACCGTTGTACTTTCTTACCTTCATAGGGTGTGCTATCTGAGACGAACATTATTCGAAGTGCATTCATGCTCTCGGCCTGTCCATTACGTCTGGCTGTAAAGAGAACGCTTATTAGAATTTAAATAGTTTATTATTTGTAGCTTAAAGTTAGAGATTTCCTAATATTAAACGATGCCTACGTAATCCCTGTCAATGCCAGATGCAGTTACCAAAATATATTTATAGACATGTATACATGTTTACAAAATGTTGCAGAAAACAAATTGATGCAAAGCAAATATATCGATATGTCGTGAGACAATCATCGTTCACGATGAACTTGTTCACAAATGAACATTTACTTCCAACGATTGCGAGGCTGGTTCCGAGCTTTGGTCTCTTTGGTCTCCTTGCCAACAGTAATACTCAAGGGGATTCTGGTATGATCATGCTATATACCGATTTAAATGCATATATATTGTATAGTTAGTAGTATATAGTTTGCGTTATAAAAATACTTGATCTGACATATTGATCTATATATAAATCGAAAATGGTTGAGAGTAAATAAATGCGGCTTTTACGAATATTTTCGAGCTGATCCTCCCGCTCTTGATAAACGATATATGCTCATTCGATGGCTCTGCATTTTCTGATCGACCTGGTTTAGCCTGAAAGTATATATTTAATATACATATATATGACGAACAGATTATACAGACACAAGATGATTTGTAAGAGGATGCAGTGCGTTAGTTAGTTGACCCGAAGAATTAAAAAAATGCATAAAAAGAAATCGAACACAAAACCACAAAAAAGACAACACAGAAGCAAGAAAAGCAGGCAAATTGGTTAGTATCACAAATTTAAAAGAAAATTCACAAGATGAACAGCGTGCATCAAGGACAACATTGAATAACCAATTGTTTTTACCTAATTCAGGATATTGGGACCGATCTTATTGACAGCTCCATTCCTGTCTTGGAGTGCGATTTCTTCTTCGGAGTCGCTGCCATCTTCGGCCGATTCTATGCCCCGAATACTTTTGCCAAAAAAGGATGGATGAGCCCAATTATAAATGTTCATGATATCTAACTTTCTCACTCACTCACTCACTCTCTCTCTCTCTTTCTCTCTCTTTCTCTCTGTCGATACTTACCGATTCGAGATGAGTCTCAAGACGCTGCTCTTCAGCACGAACATGATGAATATGATGACGCCCTGGGCACAGTTGATATAATCGAAGAATGAAAAGATTTTCTCGAGTATCTTCTGATTTTGTGCGAAATACGCGAATATTTCAAAGGTCCAGGTCACGCCCATAATGACAAACAGTCGCATAAACAGAGTGTATCTATATAAGTTAATCAAAAGACATTATGACCATTATCTAGATTAGAATCTGTCATGCTCCATACGTTTGTCTTTCCGAATTGAGTCGCTGTTCACGCTCCCCGTGTGCCGCAACGTTCTGCAAGTCCCTCTTCACCTCCAGAATGCGAATGGCCTGCAGAAGAACAGCAGAAGTATACCATCTGAGGTTATCAACAAAGGACATCGGGAGATTATCTTGGTAAACATAAAAGTTTTTCTTCAACTCTATGATATAGTAGTCCGATCCGGTCAGTTTTAGCAGACTTGGGTCTACCTACTCGACTCTTGCTGTTGATCAAGTATCTGCATAAATTCTATGTCCTAAATCCTTCCCAAAATTTACACATTTCTTAAACTTAGCCCCATGAAAGATGGCAAATCTTACAGTCAGTATAAACATTATGATGTTGAAAAGGATTTGTAGAGCCATTGGACCATGGAAATAGAGCAGCGCAGACCAATCGTGAGCTATGAGAAAAGACATTGATAAGATATTCAGACGATAAATTCGGGTACTCAACTCACTCTTAACCCAACAATTGTAAAGCCCAACTCCTGGCATCCAAAAAAGTTCGTCATCGTCGTTATCATCCAGTTTATAATCGACGATAATCACAATTAGGGTAAGTAGAGCAGCAACACCCCAAGCATATAGGCTGTAGATCAGGAATCGGTACCTGGGCGTATATCGTTGCACATTGTAGTTGTTGCTGCGGAAACTGCTCCACAGATCAAAACTGATGACGGTCAGCCAAAGGAAGCTAGCCATGACAGCAAAGTAGCCCACATAACCTGCAGTAGTAAGGTTTGTTTAGTAAATATAATGCTTAAAATATTGAATTGTAGAGCCTGAACCCATTGAATGGATAAAGCCGTCATTCTAGATCAGTATGTGGAGATGAGGTGGGAATTAAGAGGTAGAGCTACTTGATATTTTGAGTGTAGCACCTTCTGTTGCCTGCCACGATCGAAATCCATTTTATCTCCGAGATTTTGAGAGCTGAATGCAACAAATTTTGTATGAAGACTCTTTAAAGATTTACACAGATTCAAAATCTTTCAATTATTAGATACCTCCCCACAAAATTGAAAAAAATCCAAGTATATTATAGAGGAAAGCTGGAATGATTTAAAGGAAAGTTCGGCGTTGGGTTCTGGGCAACTCCTTATTGGGCTAGTTCAGGCTTAGACTCAGCTGTTTCTTTCATTTAAGTTCTTACCATTTAACTGACACATTGACTTCGACCAGTCCTCCTTCCAGGAATCGACTAGGAGTAATGCATATGCTATAAGCAGGCTGGCCATGTAGCATGTGAAGCAACAGCCGTGTAGATTCCGTAGCTTCGGTATGAACAGGTAGACGATGATCGTTGACAATAAACAAATGATCGATAACAGTCGCACTGCAAAGGATATTGGAAACTGATCAGCGATAGATTAAGCATAAGGTAAATCCATTCAAAGCCACATTTCAAGTATCAATTCAACAATATTATTCGAACGATTTCTTCTTTACAGAACACTCGTTACTATGGAGGACCAAAGGGCCATCCAGCTGGCGATCTACAGTGTCTACTCTCTCTTCTGAAAGAAGGTTCCTACCGTCTTGCCGTCAAGGAAGGGTTAGGCGTAAAGGGAGTGCAGCTTGTCTAACGCTCTACTCATTTACTCTCTCTTCTGTAGATAGCCGAGGGCTTAGGGTATATTTCCACAGTATGGGGCCACATCTGCCACAAGCAGGTGTCAGACTGGAAGTACGCCGGCTTACGGTTCTGGGCGGGATCTCTAAGAGTCGGCGTTCGGTGATCTGATCAAGAAGATATCGTCTTGACACCTACTCATATCCTAATTCCTTTGCAAGTCTGTTGTTTCTTGGTATCCCTAGTCGGGTACTCCCGGCTATTTTGTTCTCTAGCTTACGTATATTGTACAGCAATTGACTCTCCGGCGGGTCGTTGCAGTTGTGCGGCACGAGCGTGATGACCGTTTTGTTGTCGCCAGCACTGATTGGATGCGGTTGGAGGCAGTACTCCTGCTTCGACAAGGACTTCTGATCGAAATGACGCAGTAGCCTGCCATCCTAGAAAAGCTTAGATTTATTAAAAGAAGGATCTCGCACTGGATGCCAATCAAACCTCCATCAGTGTCCATCCATGAGATTCATCGTTTAACGCATCCAGATGGAAATGTTCCGAACAGGGTACAGGCAGATCTTGCTGTACGATAAAGTCCTTCAGAACGTGCCTCCTCACCTGAGTGCCATTGGCCAGGCTTATGTTCACATAGGGATCATAGTCAACTGCCTTGGCAATATCTCCGCTGCACGTGCGTTCATTCCTGTCGAGAAAGAGATTCCTGTGGCAACAGAACCGTATACAGCTGCCCAGTCGACAGGCACATCCTCGCAGGTGCCTGGGCACTGACTCCTTCTCTCCGTCCGCCAATATCTCAAAGTCATATTCCCCAGTCTGCTCTGGCGGTATGACCAGCCCTTCGTACTGATACGAGCCGTTTGAGAGCTTGGGGCTATGCGAGAGGTCCACCGTGTCGAAGTAATCGCATCCTGGTATTTGGGCAGCTACAATCTCTAGAAATAGCAGTGTTAGCACAAGTCCCTGAAAGATATTGTCTGCGAGTATAATAGTTACCAGATTTTAATAATCAACCTAGCTCAATGGCTACTTAATCGACTAGACAAAAATCTAACATTATCTACGGCTAGTTTATAGGGGAAACTATTTAATTATATTAATATTAATTCAAATTTAAATAACTAATTTTAATTCGTTTAAAACTCTCATAGAGAATGATTTACATAGTAAAACTATGCCGGGAATGTTTTGAATTAAATTATTAAATAGGTTTTTCTAGCTCTCATTTACTCTCTTTAAGCACTTTGTTTGATTTTCACTTAAATGCGCAAAAGTTGTGCATCAAAATTATTTTTAGAACAAACATTTATTTATTTATATACATATATATTTTAATATTTCATAATGCAAATTCAGAACGTACTTTTACCATACGTCGAATTGCGTTTTATAGTGCTTCAAGGTGTATATGCTGTGAATTTTATATATTAATTATGTTTATGAGCTTTATTTGTAATTATTTCAATTTATTTCAATTACTTATATCTCCAGAAATAATTGATTAAAGTGAAGCTTTCATTTTCACTTGGTACAGTTGGGGCATCCTTTTTTGTGCAAAGGAACCATGCCGTTTGGCATCTGCAAATACAAATTGGTATAAAAATATCCATATTCAACTTACAGATTTCATGCTAAGCTCCTTTTAAAGAAGACACAATGTTCTTGGTGAGTCAACGAGAGTGCCCAGACTAAACGACACATGGACAAACTTTTACAAATATACCCGCAGAGCGGCAAATATTTTGAGCGTCAATTGTGCTGAGCTGCACGACTACAAGATACCATCTTTTTTGCGTGAAATACAAATTTGTTAACTATTTTTTCGTTTAAAACTCGACTGCGCACAAAGTACGCAAAATATCGAATTTTTGGTTATCTTATCTTTAGCTGAAATATATCCCCCTTAACTCTTTTCACTGGGTAGTCTCGCTCTATATATGTACATATGTGCTAATTTTTAATGGTATAAGTGAGATTCGCACTAAAATGAGGAACGGTCCAACCATGCAAATAAAAACATTGAGTAAGCAACAAATACATGAAATTTTTACTGTTATATACCACATACACACACACACACATGCACACACACACTTGCACGTTTATCTGAGCTGCTTTAATTTGACGTTACTTTGGCGTATGACATCACTCCGGATATACGCACACACACACACATATATATATATATATATATTAAGTAGAAGACAAAGTTTATTCGGGGTTTGCTATTGAGCAAAAAGAGAAACCCGACTAGAAACGAAGGTTAGTCGCAGACTCGACTTCAGGTACGATTGTTTATTATGATTTGTCATGTTGGCCTAGGTAAGTTATTTAAATGTTGTCGAACAACAAATTAAAAGCTGTTAAAAATAGCCTATTATATTAATAGATTGAACAAATGTTAAATACTCTTTTAGAAATATGGCTTGCATTGTTAAGCTTAAAGCTCTAGAAATAACAGAAAAACTCAGAAATATGCTGATATTAAGAAATATTTGTCTAAATTTTCACCAAAGCTAGTTGTTCCTTGAAAAATAAACTTGCAGCAGTAACTTTTGTTGCCAGTTGTAAAAAACACCTGAACATACCCGCTTAATACCTGGTGCGAAGCATCAGAACGTGTTTTTCAAGCGCAAATATTTAGTATGCATAGAGATAAGTTCCAGTCTCTGGCTGTATAGTCTGAGCCCACCTCAACTATATGTATGTACATATATAAAATAAGGGCATAATGTTTTGTACAAAAGTAGGTAACAGGCAGAAAAAAAAATATATTCTTGCTAAACATCAATGGGCGACTGACCATCTTAAAGGTCTAGAAATTTTAACTTTTTTAAGGATCGATTCTCCTAGTGTCTGTGAAGTACGAGTTTCTTTCTGATAATCTTATTTATATATATGTTTTGAGCAAATAACTTAAGTTGTAAGCTTTCAGCTTTTAAAATAGATTAAACAGATCAAGTATCTTATTTTAGCTGTTGCAAGAATTTTCAACATTAAATGTTGTTAGAAACAGTGCAGGGTATCCCCTGGTTGGGCACATAAGCTTTTTTTATTTGTTTTTCTCTCTCTCTCTCTTTCTCTCTTTTCTGAGATCTCTTCCTCTTGCTTTTTTTCATTAACTAACATACAATCAGTGTTGCCAATTTAGATTTTTTCCCGTCAGATCTGGCGTTTTTGAAAATCTGACTGCGGCAAAAAAAGGGAAACAGCGGGCAGTGGGAATTCTGGCTTTTTAAAAATGAGATTAACTTGCTTTTCGATTTTTTTTTTTATCAAATCATTTGATATTAACAAAAATGTATCTAAACTTGCAATGAGCCAAGTTGGTATCATTATTGCAAGGAAAACAAAATGTCGAAAGCTGTTTATAAGCAAAAAGTGCGTTAAGTACCGAGCCTACAAGCTGGCTGGGCAAGGATATTACTGACGATAGATGGTCTTATTGCAGCTATTGCAAAAGCAATATAACGGCCAAGCTATCCGATTTAAAAGCACATGCACAAAATAAATTTTGGACATGGCCAGCTAAAACAGTAGAGCAAGAGGTATAGCCCAAAACACTCCAGTGGATCATTTGATCAGCTTGTATGCTATGCTATTCGATGACAAATGCACAAAAAATATATTAAAAAATGCCTTGGCTCCTCATTTCTGTGAGGATCTGCAAAAAAATATGGGTGATGCCAAGTTTACAAACAGTAATTATTTGCATTTAGTCGGCATTAGCGAGTCCTTGAATTTGTTGTATACTCTATTACTTTTTATTAAAATATCAAACAAAAAATATCTTTAAAATTTCAGCATTTTGTTCAGCTTTGACTGATTTGCGATTTTTTTTTTGAGCAGATCTAGCTTTTTTGGTTCTCAATAAATGGCAACACTGCGTACAATGTGTTCTTGTGCTCAAAATTCAATAAAATACATGCATACGTATGTATTTATGTGAATATGTGAATATCCCATACAATTATTGCTTTGCACATACCAGCAAACATATGTACATATATATACTCTTCGTCTTCGTCCTCTACGACGAGCCACATGTTAAGCGTATCTACAGAATATTCAACATATTTCTTACTCAACGAGTAGCTCGAACGCATACTCGATCCACGCGATCCACATGAACCACGCGATTCACACGATCCACCCATCGATTCGCACAATTGACACGCTTGGGTTATTTTTCGCAGTCTACAAGCTCTTGAGCCGCTTTTTTCGCCACTCTCTCTCTCTCTCTCTCTCTCTCTCTCGCTCTCGTTCTCTCCCCTGACTCTTGGGTGCGAGAGAGAGGTTCTTTAATCTATCATAAAATGTGCTTATGTACTTTTATGTGCTCCATATAAGTATTATAGAACAATATATATAATACCCATGGGAACAATCGGTCGAAAATGAGGTTCTTGTATGAAAAAATGTGTTCTTTATACAATATCTCGACAAACTACTTGGTTTAAATAGTCAAGCATTATGATGTGAGCAAAATATTATTAAATATTATCATCGTTCTACTGTATATGTAAAAGGAAATCGAAATAGAATACAAACCGATCTTTTAAGACGCAGAGTTACAGAACAGAACAACCTTTTGTACTTCCAATCGTTGTGCATATGGGTAGAGGGTATAGGAAACAGTTGCCTAATGAGCTAATGACACGTTTTCCGACACCTGCGACATGCGATGTGAATGAGGTGTGAATAACTGGGGGAAAATTATGAGAAATTAATAGTGGATAATTATGTGATTACATGTTGGGTATGATTGGTTGATAGTTACATGATAACATGTTGGGTTTGAGTACACGCTTGTTCGATTGAATGATGTCTAGGACCTGCTGTACATTTGCCTGAGCACGGCCACAATGGAATAGGACTTGCTTATGATATACGTGAAACTGGGCAGAGTGAGATCCATAAAGCCGCCAGCCGTAAAACGAAAGGGACGTTCCGCGTTTATCATGAAAATCAACAAAGTTTGTTTACACTTCCTGTCGAGCCCGGGCCAATTGCAGCCAAACCCAGAAGTAGGCAGCGTCTTGCTCTAGACGGAAAGATATATATTACACAGGTATATATGGTATAGGTATATAGAGTACCTGCTCGTAGACCTCGTTGCCGAAATAGCAATACAAGAACAATTGACAGAGCACACAGCAGAGCAACAGGTTCATAATAATGGAGCTCTTCGAGCCGTCGCCAATGACAATTACCTGGAATGCGGTCATGGCGACAATTACCACGGAGCTGACGAACTGCAGCATGACTGGCAGATTAAAGATGCGCTCCACCCGCTGTCGCAAGCTGGAATTTGACAAATATATATATATAATATGCATAATCCCAAAAATGATCATTAACTCCTTACACGATCAGCTCGCAGTGATATTTCACAATGGCCACGAGCCAGCTGTAGGGATCTATCTTGGGCTGCTCCCTGCTAGACGGACGCAGCTCATCGAAGGCCAGGTTGAGTACCTTTAAGTGCATACATATCTGGCCCATCAGCGATATGTTCAGATAGTCAATCGTCGAAGTTTCCAGCGCCAAAAGAGCAACACTCAGTCCCTTGTACAGGGATTGTAGAATGTGCGGCAGGAATTCGGGCATCTCGGCGCGATACGGAAAACGATTGCCAGCGAAATCCTCTGGAGCTGAGTTCAAATGATTGCCGTGATATTAAAAAATAAATAAATATATAAAAACCCACTAACCGATCAGTATATAAACAACGGCCATTGCGCCCGGCAACAGGACCAGATTAAAGTATATGAGATTTGCCAACTTGCCCTTCAGTTCCGCCCTTTGAAATGTCTCCATTTGCTGCTCGGAAAGAACACATCGACGAGTGATGCTGCTTAGCCTGAGAATAACATCCTTTAGGCATCCGTAGTGATAGCAGGTGTTGCAGGCCTAAAATTAGTTATTAAGGGATTATTTTTTTTTAATTTTAACTTTCACATTTTACTAAATTCCCTAGTCTGGTTAACAAAAGCTTACCTTTAGCAAGAAGACAACATGTGTCAAGGATAAGACGACGTTTTGTGTGAACGCGTCCAAGTCATGCCAATTGAGATACAGATCGTATAACTCGAAAAAGACATAGCCAAGCATTGCGAACAGAACCAGGGATCCAAAGATTATGATGCTCATCTGCTGCCGCGGCGTCTCCCGCTTCAGGCCCAACAGTGGCAGACCCACCAGGTGCGCCAGCCACAGGTTCAACTCGATAGAACCAATTCGGCCCTCGGACGCATTTGAGGGCAGAAGGCGTTGAATAGCTCGCAGTAACTTTTTCATTTTTCAATTGGAATTCCAAGTCTAACCAACAATGCCTTATATAAGGCGAGAGAGCATTGCGTGAGCTACTTGCCAGCCCACATTTAAATAAATAATCCTTTAAAGTGTTTGATTATTTAATTACTATTATTTACCATATTCGGTAATCGCTCGAGCAAGCTGACAAATTGCTTGGCCAGTTTACGTCATCTATTAAATAGGTGTCAGTGGAAAGGGGAAAGCCCAATTCCATTGGATAGTTGCCTTGAGAGAAGCCAGCTTTCAGTAGAACTTTCCGTTAACTAGTTGAGAATTATAGGCGCTCGCAATATAAATGTAAATGTTAGATGTGAAAATACGTAATTGAGATTCTCCTGATGGAGTAAGATAAATTCTGATTAGAATAAGGACTGCAGCACGCAAACCATGGAATGAAGGTCGATATGTTTGCACAGCTTATTTTTTGCAAAGGGAGTAAGTAAATCATTCGATTTATCGAGTCTATGGTATACATTGTCTGAAATGTATTGTATTTTGATTATCAGCAAAATTCTTTTTTGACTATTTTGTATTTCGATTATGAGTCAGCTTTCTGGCAAGTCTTTCTTTGATATATATCTCAATCCCAAGTAGAGGCTATTCTCTTTTGCTATTGTAGAACTTTTCCTAAACAAGTTGAGAATTATAGGCGCACGCAATATGTTAATGTAAGTTCGTGCAAAGACAGCATATGCCACGAATTAGAACTCTTGTTAAGACTCTTAAGTTCTCCCTACTGGAAATATCAGAACTTTGTCTTAGCTAAAGTTATATTATCCAGCTAGATTGATTATGCTTACGATTTGTATTACTTAGATCAAATAGAATTCTTTTACTTTGACTTTACCTGAGTTTGTTTTCTGTCATATTGCAACATTTATGTCATTTATTCCAATATTCATAATTCCATTTAAATGGGAAAATTTCGTTGGCCTTAGGTGCGACGCACACACTTCCTCTCGCAAGATTGTCGAGTGCAATATCGATTATCGTTGCCCGCACAGCCCCGGTAGATCATGTTCTTGCAGGATCGACTGCGGCTGTCGTAATACCACATATTATTATTGTAATATCTGCGACATTGGCGAGTACGTGAATTGCCCTCATTTTTACCGCCTGCGCAAGATTGTCGGGGTCCTGTGGAGTAGAAATTGTATTATATTAAATTCTAAAGAACAACTAAAGTGACTTACCATAAACAGACCCAGGACAATCGTCCACCTGGGCCTGAGAATGGGCCACAAAGAGCGCCAGGCAAGCCAAGATCAGAACGAATTTCATCTTGAAGCTGACTTTAAAACTTTGCTCAGCTTGAATCGAATTAAAACTGAAAATTTGAACGCTTTATGTAATAAATAAATGCCAAAAATAAATGGATTGATTTCCCGACAGCTGTTCCAGAAGGCGGGCAATGAATACAATGCTAAATTAAAATTCTGAATGAAATTGCGGTCAACATATTTCCATTATATGCACAGATGTTATTTTTAAATGGGGTTTTTTTCCATTAAACAAAATTAAACAAAATGTTAGCTCTACAAAGGTTTTTGTAACATACTTATGCGGGTTTTTAAGCAACGAGAAAGAAAAGCTATCTTCGGCACGCCGATGATCTCATACCCTTGCAGACTGAACCTTTTGATAATGCTTATAGGGCTTTGCCCGTATCGAAGAAGCACAGGGAAAATAATTAAAGCCGAGTTTGGTGAAAATATCTTGATAAACCGAGCAATCGTTCCTATGGCAGCCATATGATATAGTGGTCCGATCTTAATAGGATTTTGCCTATATATGAGAAATATAGTAAAACTAATAAATGCCGAGCTTGGTCAAGACATCTTGTAAAACAAAATGTTTTTTCATACAACTTAATTTTTGATCGATCGTTCCTATAGCAGCTATATGATATAATGGTCCAATCCAGCTGGTTTTGACTGTTTGGGACTTCTGCAAAGTTTCAAAAAGAAAGCTTTAAAACAGAGGGACTAGTTCGCATAGAAACAGACAGACAGACGGACATGACTATATCGAATCCCTTACGCTGAAAAAGGTTCTTACATATTATACATATCTCGATAAATAGCTATCTAAGTAGATTTTCGGATAACGTTTTTAAACCCTTGAAGAGGGTATTATAATTGTCAAATAATACGCTCTAACACTTGGGATAAATATCTATGCCCATAAAGTATATATTTTATATATATCTAGTTCTACCTTATCTAATTAAAATCTGACTACTATATCATATAGCTGCCTTGGAAACGATGTCTATCAAAATATTCCGGCATTTAGTATACAAACGATCCTACTTACATATGTATTAGCCACACCCTATCTAATATCATAAGAACTATAAGCTTTAAACTAAGATACAGATTAGATATACAATAGAAATATTTAATTTTTCGCAAAATATAAAAAAACAAGAATAAATTAAATACAGATCGGACAATACATACCGAAGTTTGTTGAGGCAAGAAGAGGCACAGTCGCTGCATAAAGTATCTGCATCTGTGTTGTTTTTTGAAAGGATATCTACTAGTCGGGCGCTACCCACTCACATTTACTTTAGTTATTCATGTTGAACGATTTTTGACATTAATAAAAAATGACTGCCAAAAAAATGGCATTCTCACTTATAATGCAATATTCAGTTAGTTTATTTCAATACTCATATTTCGGGTTCATTCTGTTACCATTTTCAATACAAGGTACGACTGCTGCACTTGGCTTCGCAGGCCTGGCGAGTGCAATGGCGATTGTTGTTGCCGCCGCAGCCCTTGTAGGACAACTTCTTGCAGGATCGGCTGGTGCTGTCGTACCACCACATGTCCTTATTGGCATTGCTCGAGCAATTGCGACCAGTGGAACCCTCATTTTTGCGGCCCTCGCAAACCTGTCGATTACCTGTGGAATAAGAGTGAATTATTCGTACTACTATTTAAGAATACAATGACTTTCACAATTTCGTACCTGTAATGCCGCCACGGCAAGCTCTTGTGGGCGGGCTTGTGGGTGGTCTTGCCTGAGCCTGGGTGTGGGCCACGAAGAGCGCCAGGCAAGCCAAGATCAGAATGAATTTCATGTTGTGGATTAAAGATTGTTAAGCTCTGCTTAGTTCGAACTGATTAACAACTGAAAAGATGAGCTCTTATATAGCAAATCGATATGTCAGAGATATGGCTAGAGTTCATTAATTTAATGAGCGCTGTGCCAGATTTTGAACAATGATTGCGAAAAGGGAGCTAAATTTAGATGCTGACGAATTTACATCTTTATTCAATTTAAAAAAAAAAAAAATGGAATGTTGCTGTTATTTCTTGATAAGGGAGTAAATAAAGCATTCGGAATATCGGATCTATCGGATAAAATGTATTGTACTTTATTTAAGAAACAGCTTTCTGCTTTCTTTTTCTTTCGAGCGGATCCCGATAAGTACAAGTACAAGCCCTGCATCCCAACCCCCGCCCAACCTAACTTACGAATTAATAATACACCTAGCATATTTATACGATTCACTAACAAATGGAGGATTATTCCTCCAAAGTCTATTTGCATTTCCTAGTGTTAATCAACTCTCTTGTTTCTATTCGACATTGCCTACAAACCAACTTTTATGTATTCAATTTGCATATTGAAATGTAAATTAGAAAACATATTTTATTAAATTAAAATATTTTTTGAATTACTTTCAATTGATTTCGATTGCAATTATAAGAGGAAGAAGAGGAGATGGAAGGTTCGCCGTGGCTGAATGAATTTTATATCCTCGAACCTAGGTTTTCATTAAGGCTTCTATTTTTGCTTTGTTTTTCCTTCTAATCAAAATGTGGAACATTCTCTAGAATCTTTCTGATATACTTAAACTAAGCTTAGGTAAAATACTTTTTTGAATAGAGAGGGTTTTAAACATTCAAATCATTGTTCTTTTGAAGAACTGGTTCGGATTAAAATTGATTTAAATGATTCGAGTAATTTTCGGTTCTTCTGCTAAACTCTCGTTGCATATCTTCTTATAAATATATTCATGATCTGTGCTTGTACTCAACATAAGACAATGGGGCTTTGACAGCAAAATATAAAAACGTATGCGTGATATAGGGAGGAAATTGAATGAGAATTAATATTTACCTGACGCATTAATTGTTTTGTATTCATTCTATTTATGAAGCACATTGTGGAAGAGCTGCAATATGTTTCATCGATTGGCTATATATACGCTCGAATGTTCAGTTTTAAATCAGTTTCAAGTCGAAGCGAGTTCCTTTAAAATGAAATTTATCATAATCCTGGCGTGTCTGGTGCTCTATGTGGCCCATTCCGAGGCACAGTGGAGCACTTGTCGCGGTATTCGTAAGTAATTGGGACATGTCTCCTGGTAATCCATAAAATTACCTTTTATTCATTTGCGTTTGTTTCTCCGTAGCTAACCGGCCAATTTGCGTTGGCCGCAGAGACGAGGGCTTCGTCAGTCGGCCCATCTGCGCCAGGAATGCCAATAGGGAGATGTGGTGGTACGACAACCTCAGTCGCACCTGCCAGAGACTCTCCTACAGGGGCTGTGGCGGCAACAGCAATCGCTATTGCACCCTAAGCGATTGTCTGAGAAGGTGCAGGCCCTTTTAATGCTCCAAAGATATTGTGAAAATTGAATATTCAAATAAAATCGATTTACCTTTAAAACTTTAGTTTTTATACTCCGTTTCCCTAAATCTTTGTCTATAGCTGCTGTGACTCGACATCTACTCAGAATAAAAATTCGGCACGCCGAATATGTTATACCCTTTTAGACATGTCCTCTATGCAGATACTTTAAAAGAGTGAAGCTCGTAAATGCTGAGTTTGATGAAAATATCTTGGAAAAGAGTATATTTTTCCACACAAAAACTCTTTTTTGCCCGATTATTTTTTAAGTGCAATAAATTATAGTATATGTGGGATCTTGTTAAGATGTGGTTCATAATTATGCAGCACAGTAAAAACAATAAATGCCGACTTTGGTCTAGAATATAAATACCTTATGGGGCCGAAACTATCTTCTATAAATAAACTCTACTATTGATGCTCATCTAGATTCTATATACTTAATAGGTTCGAGGATGTCTCAATTTCATTAGACAATTGTAATAGCCCTCTATAAAAAGAAGCCATGCATGCCTACCAATAAATATATATTGCCTGCTTTCGGGCATTCCCCAAAATTGAAATAAATGCATCTAGTCCGACAAACGTCTCGTTATACTGTACTATAAAACGACGCGGACTATTCGAACTGTTGTCGGGAAATGTGTTACGTATGGAAGAAGATGTCTTTGACCCTATAAAGTATATAGAGTATAGATCAGCATCAACAGTCGTGTTGATAACCAAAGACAATATAATGAGTATAAAGAGTAAAGCCTGTAGATTTGAATGTGACGCATTAGCCTGGCTTTTCAACTGGCTTCTTTTTCATCATCGCTGTCCAGAAGCCAGATGAACGATCAGTGGAGAAGCAGGTTCTTATATGTCAAAAAAAAAAATAAAATATATATATGCAAAATACTGTTTTCCAAGATATTTTCATTAAACTCAGCATTTGGAAGCTGCGTGATTAACAAATACCTGCAAAACCGTAAGGCAAACGTCTACAAGAGTATTAATTCTTCGGCGTGCCGAAAATATTCTTACTTTCTCGCTTCAAACTAAAGTAGTACTCACATGGGGAATGCATTTTCGAACAATTTTCCAAGTGTGAAAAATCCGAGACTTAGTCTGAACAAGTAGGCTTCAATCTAAGGCTAGTTCTTTGGATGTCGTGATGTCGTGGACGAAGCGCCAAGTAGACAGCAAGACTCGAATACAATTTTACATTTAACATTGATACCACGAAATGACGTTTTCATTTAAAATGCAATATCCAGCTAATTTATTTTAATATTCATCGTTCAGATTCAACCTTTTCTGTGGATTATTCGGTGCGACGCCTGCACTTGGTCTCGCAGGCTTTGCGAGTGCAATAGCGATTGTTGTTGCCGCCGCATCCCTTGTAGGACATCTTCTTGCAGGATCGGCTCCTGCTGTCGTACCACCACATCTCCCTATTGGCATTGGCGGGGCACTGGCGGCCATTGGAATTTCCTTCGTTTTTACCGCCTGTGCAAGCCTGTCGGTTAGCTGTGGAATGAGAGTGGATTGACATCTAGAATTATAAAATATAAGAGGACTTTGACAATTTCTTACCTGAAACGGCGCCACGGCAAGAGCTTGGGGGTCCTCTTGTGGGAGGTCTTGTGGGAGGTCGTACGGGGGGCCTTCTCTGGGCCTGGGTGTGGGCCACGAAGAGCGCCAGGCAAGCCAAGATCAAAATGAATTTCATGTTGAAGGTTGAAGATTGTTAAACTCTGTTGAATTCGAACTGATTTACAACCGAAAAGATGAGCGCTTATATAGCAAATCGATATGGCAAATCGTAATATGCCCAGAATTCATTAATTTAATGCCAGCTGTGCCAGATTTTAGACAATGAATGCGAAAAAGGAGCTAAATTTAAATGCTGAATGGAATACCTTACTACTTTATTTAATTAAATGAATTGAAATGAAATGAAGGTTGATATGTTTGCATTATGCTGCACATGTGCACAGCTGTTATTTTGCGGTGGGTTTTTTCCATTCAACAGAAATTATTTTTTAATTTAATTCAGAATATGGGTTTTGTTTTAATAAAAAAAATTAAAGAACGATGTTATTTTTTTGATGTCAAAGGACTTTAAATATTAATGGGACTTAAACATAAAATTAATGGAAATTAACGAAAATAAAAAAATGAATGCCTGGAAAATTGTGGATGTAGAATGATATTCTGTTTGGCTGAGAAAAACAATAGAATAAATAAGTATTTAAATCCCATTTATATTAATATCAGCTATAATTGTTATCGTTATTTCCTTTGGTAAGAATAGAACAATATAATAGAATCATAAATTTAATTCACAAACAAAAAATTATACGCTTTTTGCGGGCGTTGATTTGCCGCCTGTTAGTTCGACGAAAATTCTTTCAACGGGCTGTCTCTACTCTTATTGCCTTTGCATCTGCCTGTGCCTTAGATAAATTTGATTAATTTTGAAAGAGGAAGCTCACCGATCTGAAAGACGCCTCAGCTTTAATGTGGTGTGTGTGAGTAGAGCACAAAAATCTCCCCATCTGCCAATATCTCAGTCATATTCTCCAGTCTGCTCAGCCCTTTGTACTGAAACGAGCCGCTGGGCAGCTTGGAGCTATGCGAGAGGTCCACAGTGACGAAGTAATCGCATCCTGGTATTTGGGCAACTACAAACTCTATAATTAGGCCCGTTAGCGCAAGTGACAGCCGCATGTTTCTGGATTTGAACTATCCGCAAGTTCGATTAAAAATATTTCACAGAAAATTTCCGCAAAGTGATTTTTATGCAAATTAGATTTAATTGCAAAAGAACTGCAGGTGAGCGTCGGGAGTGCCCGACTATGGAATACTCTGAACCATCTTCGTCTTGTTGCCCGATAATATATGAATATTTATATATATATATATATATAATAGAAGATATATATAGAATATAACAAAAATATATAGAATACAATATATATATAGAATGTAGAGGAAGCTGGATCGTTCGTAAGGGTATTTCCGCCATGGTTCAGGGTATCTTTCTGTCGGGCACTTTAAATTGAAATGCATTGGCACATATACTAGGCTATATTTAGACTGTACTCTAAATAATTGACTGTAATTATTATAAAATTAATTGAATAAACAAACATATAAATTGACCATCTATTTTATTTTATAGAAGTAGATCTTGTGGTAGATTGCGTTAAGTTGCCGTCCAGTCCAATTAAATGCAAAATCTGTGATTTCGATCTTCGCCAAAGGTAAGTTTTAATTTGTTAGTATAGATAATAGCTTATTAAAAATAAAAAATTTGGGCAATTTGGCTACTTGCGCTGTTGATATCCAGCAGTGTTAGCACAAGTCCTTTGTATTGCAACCCAATATTCGAAGGACCTCTGCTAAGACTATTGGAAATTAGCAGAAATCCACAGCTGCAGATGGCATGAGATGAGATCACATTAGATCTTTTTGCTAGACATGACCAAAAATCTATAAATATATATAACCTTTCCTCCTTAGCTCTTGCAGACAAAGAATCCCATAAAGCAGATATTTCGTACATATTTCAAAAAATAAATGATGATAAAGTCTACCTATAAAGCTTAGCTGTAAGATATCCGAATGTAGTTACAGGGTAAAAGAAATCAGCTAAATTTTTTGAATGCAAAATGGAATTTTTTTAAATTATTCAGTTGAACTTTTAATATACATCAGACTATCTAATTCAGGTATATAGTCTACGTGAGGAATTAGTCGCAAATTGAGTTTTGCTGTTATTTCTGTTCTATTTCTGTTCCAAAATCTTGACGTATATCATAACTTTATGTGAAATATGATGCGATATTAAATATAATTCTGCAAAGTGATGCTGACTTGCATTCAAAATAAAACTCCGCAAATCGGTCTTGTATATTTAATGCAGAGTAATAGTTCAGGAATTGAGCTTATAACAAGGCTTACCAATTTTTGGAAACTCCTGAAGCCTAAGTAAAGAGCTTGAATCGAAGAGAGCGTTATTATTTCTCCATTTCATATGTTACGCATCGAAAGATTTATCTCCGATACCATAAAGTATATATTCTCCAGATCAGCCTTTGTTTGTCTGTTTCTATGCGAACTTGTCTCACAATATAAAATGTATCCTTCTGAAACTTTCCAAAGGTCCGTTGTTCCATTGCAGACAGAACATATGCTGGAATCGTAATGGAACGGATTAATATATCATATAGTTGCCATAAGAACAATCAGTCTAAGAGTAGGTTCACCTTGTTTAAGATATCATGATATTTTCATTATATATATGCAGAATCTTAACAACATCGGATCACTATATCATATAGGAAAGATCGTCAAGAGGCAAAAAGTCTACAATTGCATTAAAACTTCGGCGTGCCGAAAATATGCTTACATTATCATTATCTTTATATTTATATTTTGGTAAAAAGTTGCTTAAATATTAAATTGTTTTAAATTTTTTAACAATTTGTATAAAATTTAAAAGGTATTTCTTCTCTTTTTTTTTGTTGATTTGATATACATATTTACAATAACAACACCACGTTATATACATTTAAGAATATGAAATATGTACACGTTGCAATTATAAATGGCAATTGCTGTAAGAGTTTACTTAAAAAATGTTGACATTCGTATATTTTTTTATATATTATATAGTATAGAAACGTACAATCTTCGAGGTACTCCGAAGCCAATTGAATCTTTGCAAACTTTGTTGGCAATTAAATATTTTTTGTCAGTTTTAGAGTCAACATGAGTAGATGTCAAGCATAGATCGCTTCGTTTGAAAAGATTTAACAAGTTTTTGGACAAAACTAACATTGGTCAATATATATATATATATATAAAGTTGATATATATATGTATATTTATATAAGTTTGGTATAAAAAGTTCTATAAGCTACACTCAGCTTGTGACCAACCCGCGGCGCCAGCACTTTGTGTGTTGCTTTTGTAAAAAATATATTATATATGTCTATCCGGATTCTTAATAGACATATATGATATGATATGCCTAGACATTTTGAGCGTTATTTGGCAACTCCGGCTGCTCTCTGGCATTTGCTGTGGAATGTGCGAGCAGGAGGCTGCTTTTCACTTTGATCTTTGTGGGCTCGACGGGCGCAGCATGATATTTGGCCTGATGGACCAGCAGCAGGCCGTGATTGACGCTGGAAAATTTGCACACATTGCATTTGTATATGATGGTGGACAGCTCCAGCTCCGGATGCACTTTCTGCAGATGTATCTGCAAAGGCAAGCAATTCATGTATAGCTACATATATAACTGGCGTGTTCGATTATGGACCTACCCGATAGGCGGTGCTCTGTATGGCGCGGAAGTCACAATGTGGACACGCATAGCGCTTCGGCTCCCGATGGGTGGCCAGATGACGCCGAAAGGCATTGTGGTCATTCGCCTCGTACTCGCACTTGTCGCACTTGAAGCGCTTGTTCGCCTGGTGGCTGCGCATGTGCAGCTTCAGGCTGCTCTTCGAGCTGAAGACGCGCTGCAAAAATAACGAATAAATAAATAAATAAATGTATAACCAATAAAAAGAATTTGTGCATAGATTTAACGAAGTCATTAAGAATGAGTTTCTTGAGAAGCGGATGTAAAACCAGTTCACCAATTTTCCACACTTACGGATGGAATTCCCCAAAATCCGGATACTACAAGAGGCGTGAAATATGTCTTAAATAAACTATCACAAGAATATTTAGAAATAAGTCTGAAGAGAATCGGATATATAACCAATAAAAGTTAATAATTTTTGTTCCACCTATATTCCACACTTGTGGGTGGAAATCACGCATATATCACAAGAACACTGCAGCTTCCTAGCTTTTACATCCTGGACTCTTAAGTTGAGCATCAATCAGTCAGTCGTTCAGTCAATCAGCTATTCAATCAGATTCGATTATTTGAAGCTTGTGCTTACCTGGCAGGTGGGGCATTGCGGCTGCTCGTTGCGCTGCTTGCACAGATGCTCGCGCAGAGTCTTGCGATGCTTGAAGGCGGCGCCGCAGTCCTCGCAGCGATGGAGCACCGGAAGCATTGGAATCGGCTGCTGTTCGCTGTGGTTTGGCTTGGCCATGCCCAGGCCCTGGGTGCGATGCAGCCGTCGATGGTTCTTCAGCTGTTTGGTGTTCTTGAATCCCTTGCCGCACTGCTCGCACTTGTAGTTGCGCTCCTCGGAATGGATCTTGGCATGGGTGTTCACCAGCCGCGAATAGATGGGCGTCTTGAAGCTGCACAGCTGACAGCAGTAGAGCTCCATGTCAATCGCGTGCGTGCGCCAGAGATGCGTGTGCAGGCAGTTCCAATTGCTGAACTGCGTCGACCTGCACTCCGGACAGATCATCGGCTGCGCTGACCCGAGTGCGCCATTATGACAACGACCATGATACTCCAGCGTCGCTGGTGACTTGAACCGAAACATGCAGCCCTCCACAGTGCATTTGCCGCCCTCGGGCGGCTGAGCTGTGCCCTGTGCGGGCCGCCGCTTGGCCTGACCCGCCTGCTTGGCGCCATAGGGACGGCCGCGCACCGAGGTGCCGCCAGCCGGCGGCTGCTGCTCGACAGCAGCGGGCAGCAAATTGTTGGCCACATAGATGCGAGCTGGCTTGTCGTTGCCAGTTTGATTGGTCGCGGGCACGGGCGCGGTCGTCACCGTGGACTCGCCAGCCAGCGGCACCAAAGGCGGCACAGGCAGACCGCAGAGATTGTCTGCAGGCGCAGCGGGACTGGCTGCCGTCGCATCGGGTGAGCCAGTGACCGGCACCAGGGGCGGCACAGTGTCCGCGCTGGGCGGCTGCTGCGCATAGAGCTGTGGAAAATCTTTAATCAGAATATCCTCGGCATTGTGCGGCAACTCCAGCTGTGCGGATCCCTCCTGATTCGCGTCAGTGGCTGCCATGCCCGCCTCATCTATCCAGGGCCAGCCCTCTAGATCCTCAGCCAAATCGTAGTTATCATCATAGCTCAACGGTGCTGGTGGCGGTGCCGCCGGCTGCTGCTGTGGGAAATCAACCAGCGACGGCTCC